CCACAATTTGTTTGTGCATGCACTGAGTACTGCGCACGTGCAAACGAGTTGTGGTCACCATTTTGTTTTCCAAAATGGCAGCCGCGGCTCGCTTGCACATGCGCAGTACTCTAGAAGTATTGTGCATGTGCGAGTGCGCAAGCACGCTAATGCGCAGTACTTTCGGTTTTCCTACGCATGCACTCCTGTCCTAGATTGTTGATGTTCCTTCCTCCTATTTTCATGCCTCCCTCTTCTGTGTCTAGGCCTGCTTTTCTTATAATATGTTCTGCATACAAATTGAACAGACAGGGTGATAGAATACAGCCTTGCCTGACTTCTTTGCCAATCAGGAACCATTCTGTTTCTCCATGTTTCTTGTCCTGACAGTAGTTTCTTGTCCTGAGTACAAATTTCTCATCAGAACTATTAGGTGTGTTGACACTTCCATGTATTCCCTAGCTTTTTCATGGTCCATACAGTCAAAGGCTTTCCTCTAGTCAATAAAACACGTTTAAAGCTACCAGTAACTTATAAACAGTAAAAAATTGTACTTGTTGCTTGTTCAATTCACCACCAAAATCTCAAATAAAGTTAAGCTGTCTGGTGGCTTGCAAAGACACACTGGGAATGCTTGGGAAGGATTATATTATGTAATTGCAGCAACATCTCAGAACATTCTATTACCTTGATTTTGTTTTCCTGACCCCAAATTGCACTGTCTTCGGTTTTAAAGTCTCTTAAGCATTATAGTTCCAACATGTCTCAGTATGGAAACAGATAAATCTTATCGTGATGGTAGAGCCATGAATGTGATACTAAGTGTATTAGGGGAGTGATCTGTACAATTATTGCTTTATACAATCTACTTCACACTTGTAGGGCAACTTTAAGGAATGGAGTTCATATATTCGATAGGGTACTGTTGTCATATCTTTCTCTAAGAGCAGTGTTTTTATCCAGCCATGCTTCCTTCCAGTATTCTGTACTCCTCATTCTTTGTGTTTCTGTTTTTCAAATCTATAATCAATATTTTATGGCTACTGAACATATTTGGCTTTCAGTCAGCTACCTAGAGTCAGTCATCCTTTTACATTTTATTTTTTCAAGGTTACTGGGGGAGGTTTTCTTTGCTTTTGTATTGCTTGTTTGTTTGGTACTTTCTCAAACATTAGAATTTCTCCAAGCACCTTGAAACTTCCTGTAATTTTTCAGCATCTCTGTCTTGTCTCAAGGGGTACAGGACTGCACTAATGGGCATGGGAACATAGATAAACCAGTGGTAGAGCAAAGGTAGTCTTATTATCTTCTTTGTTACAGTATATTTTCAGCTTTATTTTATTAAATTGGCTTTGGAAAATAAGACTGCTTTTTGAATGGTATCTTTTTTCATTTAATAGTAGAAAGATAAACATCTATGGTGATTCCTTCAAATATTAACTTTAAAATGCTAGTATATAGCCATATAAATATTATTGTGGGTGATTGAATAAAAACAACCTTTCATTTTAGTTGACAGGTGTACAAACAAACCCAACAGGTGTGGCAGGTGTAAAAACAAACTCTACAGAAATATCTTCCTAAGAAAGTGACTACAGCATTTTATTATACAAATGGCATTAGCTTTCTGCTTATGCCACCCCTCATTTCCTTTCCATTCCTGTTCAAATCCTTTCCCTACATTTATTATAAAAGTAAAGGTAGTCCCTTGACATGAATGTCTAGTCATAACCAACTATAGGGACTGGTGCTCATCTCCATTACTAAGCTGAAGAGCCAGTGTTATCCATGGACTACTCTGGTGGTCATATGGCCAGCTTGACTGCACCAAATGCTGTTACCTTCCCACTGAGGTGGTACCTATTTGTCTACTTGCATTTGCATGCTTCCTAACTGCTAGGTTGGCTGAAGCTGAGACTAGTGACAGGAGCTCACTCCATCATGCAGCACTCAGGCCTCAAACTGCCAACTTTCCCATCTTCCAATCATCAGAATTGACTTCTTAACCATTAAGCCACCACATCCCATCAACTTATATAATATTTTATAGGTAATGTAAATAAAAATAAAGTTTGTCCAAAATCATCAAGTGTTTCAAAAGACTACAACACTTAGAAGCAAAAATAGGTTTAGATCCATGATAGGTGTGGCCAATTACATACCACAAAAATAACAATATTAAGGAACAATATATTAGCTTGTATGATAGATCAAAGTAATTACTTTGGTCCTTTCAGATAAAACAAAACAAAACATGCAAGTCTAAACTTGCTTAGATATAAGTCAGTGAAGTTGCACTGACAGAAAAGGTTCATCGGCAAACTTCTGAGGCAATAGATTCCCCTTCCCTTCCCAACCTCAGATAATCTTGTGCAAATTGTGTGTGCATGTGTCTTAGAGTCACTT